CTCTTCAAATCCTGGACAGCAAGGGGAGGGAAATAATCCAACCAGTGCTCAGCTTCAGAAAAACTGACCACTTCTTCATCAGACAGACCCAAAGACTTCATGATTCCCCACTGGTATTTGGAAGAGCCAGTCTTGGCAGCAGCCTTGCTCTGGAAGAACAACTGGGATTAGGAAGAAGCCCACAGTCTTGTCACAAGAGCATTTGCCTCTGTTAATGCTATGGTTTCTGATACCAGACACACAAGTTAAAACTCTTAAATATTCTCATATCCTCCCTCTAACAGTGAGAGCAATTGATTAGTTTCCATTCTACACCCTGTATACGCAGAGGTGTAGAATACAGGGTGTATTCTCTCAGTCCAGGAAGGCTTGGTTTAAACTTTACCTTTTTGCCTTTTGCTTTGTCTTTGATGATAATTTCTTCCTCTTTTTTACCAGAACTTTCTTCTTCTTCCTCCTCCTCATCAGGAAATTCCGGTGGGCATCCATACAACTCCATTTCTCTTTTCAGCTTATCTGCACAAGCCTGAACAGAGATATTGGGAGTGTGTCAGCCAGGGCACTGGTTGTAATCACAGCCAAGGAGTAGGTTTTATTGATAACATTTTCCATTCCACACTTTTTTGGACCTTGCATTAAGATCTAGGAGATCCTGCCACTTCCAGAAAACCTTCCAGGGCAGGAAGCTATTTACTGTAAGGATCTTCTTGCAAAGGAAAACAAACAAGAAGTAAAATTCCATTTTCCAGCTCTCTGTCTTTTAAAATGATGTTATAGGTCAAGCATAACACATGTTTATTACAAATTCAGCTTCCAAATCACATTGTCTTGGTGAGTTTTTAAATAAACTAACGTGATGTTGGGGATGGACAGTAAGCAAGGCACCAAACAGCCTTAGGGATAAAAACCCCATCAGAAACAAACCCCCAGCAACTGCAAAAGTCTCACCTTAATGGGCATCCCCGTGCAGTGCAGCCCAAAGGGAAACAGGCAGGTCCTCCCCTTCAGCCTCTGGTACCCGACTGCGAACTAGACAGGGAAAATAGAACAGCTGAGATGGGAACAGCCCCAGGCTGAGCCAGCACCTGGTCAAAGGCAGCTCTGTCTGCTCCAACACACCCCTGGCAGCTGGCAGAGCTGGGGGCAGCTCTGCAGGGAGGTGCAACCCAGTTTGTTTCTAGCCTGCCCCCACGGCTGCACAGGCACGGGCGGGCCAGGCTTCCAGGCTGGCTCCATCAGAGACCTACGGGTGCACAGGGGCTGCTCTGCAATCCCAGCACCCAAAACCTGCTCCCACACAGGGCACAGAGCACAGCAACCACAAACAAAAGGGACAGGTCCCTTGTGAAGGTTGAGCCGTTTAGCAGCATCTCCTAAAAATCTCATTTCAAAGAACAAACAGGAAACACCTTCAGCCCCATCCCATCAAATTAAAAATTACATTAATGGGATTTCCCTTCAGCTAACAATATTCCTACTGAAAATGTGGGAAAAGAGGAAAGTTTAAAAAGTCATCATTAAAGCTTTGAAGGAATTGACAAGGCATCCTATTAGCTCAAAACTGAACTACAAAATCAGCATTTGTTCTAGAATGGTATTTAAAGGTATGAGCAAAGGAGAATTTTTACCTCACATTTAGACAAGGAAAATGTGTGTCCCAGGTGCAGGCGGCCATTCATGTAGGGGTAAGGAAAGGTAACAAAGTACTTCCCTTTGCTGAGGGGAAAGTCAAAGAATTAAAACACATAATTAGCTTTGTAAATGACCATCAGACAACACACGAGCAAAACAGGTAACTGGGATGATCCGCTATTATCAGCCCACAGTGATGTTAAAATATTTTCCTTGCCAGTAACATGAGTATTGATTTTAAAGAGCTGATACACTAACAGGCTTTATCATCCTAAAAAATAAACACAAAAGAAAAAACCCACAGTGGACTGACATCACACAGAAACATTGAAATAGATGTAACATGTTCCCAAAGGTAACAAATTCTAATCCTGCTTCTGTAAATTAATTACAGCAAAGGCTTAAAGTAATTTATTTAATCTCCCACCGTGTGAGTTCAGATTTTAAGGGCACACTGCAAGCAATCACGCCTTTCACAGGGATGTATTGTTGCAGGGTGTTTCAAAGATGCATTATGTTGTTGGAACCTGAGCTCTCAAAGCAGCTAAGAAAATATTTACATTTAGGACAGTGAATTTCTACCTTTACCTTTGTACTCTATTTCATGCCTTGTATCTTCCCTTCACACACTCCCTTGATCCATTAACATGAAGGAATAAAGGCCAAGTCATTTGTTTGCCTGCAAAATCTACAATTTAAGAACCTGCCACCTGTTACACCACTTCAGTTATTATCTTGGTTTAGCCTGCCTTTCCCACACACCACGTATTAACCTCATACTGCCAAGGTCACTGCTTTTTCAGTCAAAGACCTTCCACAGGATTAATCTGCTCCCCCAGACGGCCCTCCACACCTGCGGAGAGCATGGGTCCCAGCAATTCCACAGGACCTGTGCTTCCAAGCACGCTCTGCATTCCCAGAAGATAAACAAGTCTCAGTGTTTACTCTGGGGCAGAAATAAAAGAGTCATGTGGCCTTCCCCAGCAGTGCAGAGCACTCTGTGCACCTGTGAAAGGCTCTTCCTCCCCGCTGGGGCTGCAGCCAGAGGTGGCCAAGGTGACCACCTGCTGTCCCCGCAGCCTCCCTGGGACCGAGCCTTCCTCCCTTTCCACACCAGCGCCGGGGGCTGCTCCACAGCAGGAGCCCAGCACTGCTGCGCTCTGCGAGGCACAGCAGGACTCACCTAACCTCTGCGAGGCACAGCAGGACACACCTCCCCTCCAAGTGAAACCTCCCCGGGGTGAGGGCTCAGGCACCCCACTGCAGAACCTCCTCCACGCCAAAGAGCACAAGTCACACAGAGAACCTGGTTTAAGCCCACAGAGGGTACTAACACTGCCAGGAATGAAAAAACTTCTCTCATCCTGCTGGAACTCAGCCACACACGTACTCAGCTGCTTTGTGTCATCAGCTACATCAATGTGTGAGCAAGCCTCTCCAGCTGAGCCATGAGTACTGCTCATTAGAACGGGGCCACTTTTTCCCTCCACCAGATTTTGAATGAAAAGACACTTCAAGCAGTGAAAAATCAAGTACAACAACACCTTCTCTGGTCCCTCCTGTCTGCAGCATTGATCTCAAACACTCGATCATGCTCCCACTTCTGCTGGACCTCTCTTTCAATCTTCTTCAGGAAATCCACTTTCGCTGTTCCTTTACGCTCCTGTTCAGCAGAGGAAGGAAGAGAAGTCTGGCTGAGCAGGGTAAGAAATGTCAGATCTGTAATCTATCACAGAGCAGCCCTGATCTCCCTGGGTAAGGGCAAGCACTGCTCCACGTCCCAGCAAAGCAGCAGAGGCGGCTCTGCGGGGCTGTGTCCAGAGATCCAGCCTGAAACTGGACCCAAGGTCTGCAAGGAGAGCCTCAACAGGCATTTTCCACAGCAAAGGACTCTACAGCAGCCAGGACACACACACACTCTGGCCATCTGGCCAACAGAGATGGTTCAGAGATGTCTGAACTGGGGAGGCAGAATAGGATATAAATCATAAGTGGAAACTCGCAAAGAAGTCTGGTTTTATTCCAGATTCTGCATAAACCCATGTGATGCCTCCCCTTTTAACGTACATAAAGTGAGCACAGCACTCCCTATGCCAGGAAAAGCACAGGTAACAAGTGTACCTGTAGTTCACTTTCTCCAGGTGAAGCATTCCAAGCGATTTTAATTAAATCCGTGTTCAGCAGCCCTTCCCCTCATTCTTTTATCACATAACATATGGCAAGTATTAAAGGATATTATTCCTCCACCATAGAACACACAGGAATCATTAAAGGACACACGCATTACGGACAGACGCATTCTGCTCTCATAAACGTTGATAATTTAGTTTTTTCCCATCAAAACCAAGACCCTCCTAAGAGCTTTACAGCAGGGATCCGCAGCCCCCGGGCAAAGGCCCCGCGCACGCCGCTGTGGGACTCTGTTCCCCGGCGAAGAGTGACCCGAGGGGCCGGTGAGGAGCCCGGGGAACAGCGGGAGCCCCGGGACGGAGCAGGGGAGCGCCGGGAACCCCGGGACGGAGCAGGGAACGGCGGGAGCCCCGGGACGGAGCAGGGAACGGCGGGAGCCCCGGGAGGCAGCAAGGGAACTGCGGGAACCCCCGGGACGGAGCAGGGAACGGCGGGAGCCCCGGGACGGAGCAGGGAACGGCGGGAGCCCCCGGGACGGAGCAGGGAACGGCGGGAGCCCCCGGGACGGAGCAGGGAACGGCGGGAGCCCCGGGACGGAGCAGGGGAGCGGCGGGAGCCCCGGGACGGAGCAGGGGAGCGGCGGGAACCCCCGGGACGGAGCAGGGGAGCGGCGGGAGCCCCCAGGACGCAGCAGGGGAGCGGCGGGAGCCCCGGGAGGCAGCAAGGGAACTGCGGGAGCCCCCAGGACGCAGCAGGGGAGCGGCGGGAGCCGCGGGCCGATGCCCCGGCCCCGCTCCTACTCACCGCCATGTTGCCGCGCCTGACGGCTCCGCACGGGCCGTGCCAACAGCGGCGGCGGCGGGGGAGCCCGGCCCGTACTAAGCCGGCGGGCGGGAGACAGCGGGCCCTTTGTAGCGCGAAGAGAGGGCAGAGAAGGAGGACGGCAGGGCGAGTGGGCGGAACGATCGCTGCGGGCACTGATCCCAGCTGGGGAGGGGGACACGAGCCCGGCGCACCGGGCCGAGGGGTGCACCCGTCCGCACGCTGGCACTTTAAGAGCGCCCCCCCCAAGATGTCGCCGCGGGTTCATGTGCTCGCTCTACCGAACTTGCTGGTTCTCCCTGACCCTCGGCTCGGGCTCCCGGCGGCTGCCATTGGCCGGCAGCGCGGAGCGGCGCCCTCTGATTGGTGCTGGCGCGCGGCCCCGCCCCGGCCGTGCCCAGCAGGCTGCGCTGCGGGCGGCGCCGGGCAGGTCGCGGCCATGGCGGCGGTGTAGCCGGAGCGGGCGGCGCGGCGCCACCATGATCATCGAGAGCGTCGAGGCGCTCAAGTCCTGGCTGGCCAAGCTGCTGGAGCCCATGTGAGTGCGGCTGGGCCGGCCGGGCGGCGCTTCCCGCGGGCCGGGCCCGGCCGAGCCGTCCCGGCCCTGCCCCGCCTGCCCCGGCCGGGCCCGGAGTGCGGCGCAGCCCGGGACGTGCGGGGCCGCTGTCCCACAGCGTGCAGCGGAGCTGAGAGGGGTTTGCAGCACGAGTCCGATGAGCAGCAGCCGCGCGGGCTCAGCCTGCAGCAGAGGAGGCTCGGGGGGCCCTTCTGGCTCTCACAGCTCCTGCCAGGAGGGGACAGCCGGGGGGTCGGGCTCTGCTCCAGGAACAGGGACAGGAGCAGAGGGAACGGCCTCAGGCTGGGCCAGGGCAGGCTCAGCTGGGACAGCAGCAGGAATTTCCCCATGGGAAGGGTGCTCAGGCCTTGAAACTGCCCAGGGAGGTTTGGATCCCCATCCCTGGAGTCTCCAAGGAATTCCTGGCCGTGACACTCGGTGCTCTGGGCTGGGGACAAGGTGGGGATAGATTGAATTTGGTGGTCTGGGAGCACTTTTCCAGTCTCTGTGATTCTGTGCGCTCCCACCTGCTGCCCCAGATGTGATGTCAGCTTCAGCCCCAGCTCTGTCATCCTGGAGTAGAGCTAGAGGCTGCTGGAGGAGCTGACAAAACCAGGAATAACATTGAAACTGTGGGAAGTCTGCATTTACATCCTACTGCTGCCTGCAGTGGGAGCAGGGCTGGGATGGAGTCAGCACAGATCCAGGTTATGTAGTGCATTTCGTGGGTTCTGATGCTGGGCTGCAGAGGGGTGCTGGGTTTGTGCTGGTCTCAGGCTCCAGTACCTGAACACAGCTGTGCTGGTGGTGCAGCAGCGAGGGCTCCATGGGTCTCACCAGGGGAAGCTGCTCCTCAGCACCTGGCCAGGCTCAGGTCTCCCAGAAAGTACAACCAAGGCCTGTGGGAAGAGTTGAATAGGCCCTAGGTGTGCTCAGGTGCCATTGTTAAGCATTAGGCTTTTGGAAGTTGTTCACTGCTTCCTTTTTCCCTGTTTCAGTCACGGGTATCTCTGGTGTTCAGTCAAACCCTGCTGAAAGTCTCTAGGCTGGAGCACAGCTCCTGCACTTTCCCTGCCAGCTCCGGTCGGTGTCCAGCGTTCCTTGCACTGCAGAATGTGAGACAGAAAACCCAGGAATTGGCCAGGAAGCCCTGACAGTCACAGGCTCTGTTGTGGCACTAGAGTGACAATACAGAGTGGCTTGCCTGGAGGAGGGCACTCACCCTGTGTGCTCCTGTACTGCCTGATGGGATGGGATGGGGTGCTTGGGAGGGACTGACCTGTGGAGGAAGGAAAGGTAGAGGTTGTGAAGTGAGGGATAGTTTCCTCTATTTGAAATTGAAGATTTATAGTCAGTGGGTGAGGGCCCCAGAACATCACACACAGTGAGTGCATCACATACAGGTTTTTTCTCTGTGTGTGTAAGAATTGTAAAATCTGACAATTTGTGGTTTCTTTGTTCTTAATTGCTCTATTTACCCTGGCTTTCAGTGGAGGTTGGATGTTGTTGGAGGCTATATGAGAGCAGAGCTACTTGATTGCTGCTCATTGAAGATTTTTATTTCTGTCACCTGTTGCCCTCTGCTTGGCTTTTTGCCTATTGCTTGTTTTCTGGATCTTTTTCTTACTTGAGATTATTTTGAGGTATATATACTTCAGAATTTTTTATTTCTTTTCCAGAGTTACTGTTCTCAAAAAATACACAATCTCCTCTTTAAATGTTAATTAAAAAAAAAAAAAAGTCTTTTGAGTATTTTAGGTTTCTGCCCCCACCTGATATCTGTCACCTGCACACTCTGAGAGGCCAAACAAGGAGCTGCAATTTAGTCACACTCTTACTCTATTTCGTACCTGAGGTGCTCCTAATAGCTGAATAATGAGATCTAAAGCAATATGCAGTTTAAAGATTAGTGGTGAAGTATCACTGCACAAAGTTGGTGAGTTTGGACTTTGTGGACCAGACACAGGTGAGGGAGCATGAGGAGAGAAGCTGGGTCAGTAATTGCTGCCCTTCAGGTGTTCTACCAGTGCTAAAAGGTTACTGTGAAATATGGCATGGAAGTATCCTTGAGGAGGAAACCCCGGCACCTCAGGACAGTCGCTGAAGCTGTGCAGAACCTGCGTGTGTATTGAAAATGGACCTCTGTGACATCTTCTGAACTCTTTTAGAAGAATGTTCTAATTTTGAAGCGCAGTTTAATCCCTCTCAGTGCTTGTGTAGTGCCTGCCCAGGGTGCTGTGAGCTCCTGGGGCTCTCCAGTGCCTGTGCCCCCATGGGGCAACAGCCAAGCACAGTTCTCTCTCTCACTAGATGTGACGCAGACCCCTCAGCCTTGGCCAACTATGTCGTGGCATTAGTGAAGAAAGACAAGCCTGAGAAGGAGCTGAAAGCTTTCTGTGCTGACCAGCTGGATGTGTTCCTGCAGAAAGGTGTGGTGGCCACAGCTGGCTGGGGGCTTCAGCTCTTGGCGGGAGGAGGGAGGGTGCTGCACCACTGCTGCCTTCAAAATCCTTCTTGGTAGCCATCAATATTTCTTACAGAGTTCAAAGGAATCTTGTGATTAGAAAAGTAATAATCATAGGATGAAGTCATGTAACTTGGACTTTTCACAGTGGGTGGAGGGAAATGTTCTTAAAGAAAAGCAATTTAATTTAAAGTGTCAGTTATGTTGCCAGAAGCTTCTCTGACAGGTGTTTGGTAACTTTTGAAAACCTGGTCCATGTTAATCCTTCAGATTGCTGGGAGCTTCACATGTGGCAATTTGCTTCACAGTCAAGGGTTTAAACACCTGAAAGTGTGACACTCAGTGGGAAGGTTACTGTGCATTTGTTGTAATGTTGAGAATTATTTACTCTCAGAAAAATTGCCCTAAGAGGCTGCTGAGTGTAGCTGATGGAGCTGGTGGATAGCTGTGGACTTGTTCCTTGATCACAGGCGCCAATCATGCTTGCCCCTTAGAGCAGGAGACGTCTCTGTTGCTGTCTGTGATATACCTGAGGAATTTCTTTCTCTAAATGAACAGCCTCAGGTGCCACAAATGTAATTCCAGCTCCTTCAGTGGAGCTAGTGCTCATTAATTCTGAGGTGCTGCTGCTGCAAGCAGCCCACTTGGCTGACTGTTTTCAGGGTCTTCTCTGGTAAAATGTAAGCACGCACTTAATTGCATATGTAACAGTATTTTCTTGTGCTCTGTATCCTCAGAAACTTCAGGGTTTGTAGATAAACTTTTTGAAAGTTTGTACACCAAGAGTTACCTTCCTTCTGCTGAGCCCACAAAGGCAGAGGCAAAGCCTGCAGGGCAAGAGAAAGAAGAAGTCAAGGAGGAGGTAATGTTATTTATTCTGCCTGCCTTTTATTTTCAAATTAGCTCTCCTACATTTGTGAGGCAAAATGTGACAAAAAATGCACTCTATTGTGACTAGTGATCTCTGTGTCCAGAGAACCATGGAAGATGACTATTCAGACAAGAATATTTTACATCCCTTTGTAGAGTCTACCTTCAATTAAGCACTCAGAAATTCTGTTCACAGTTCTGGTAATACTGGTGGATGATTACTTGGAAGGGTTTTGAGAGGGGGAAGCAGCAAAAACATTCAAAAACATTTCCAATTTTGTATATTCTGTGAGGAATGAAAATTAAAATGCTTTCTGTGGTGCTTAAAATCATTGAAATATGTTAGGCTCTGTATTAGAATAATTACTTTGGAAAGTCAGGGTTTGTTTGCCACGAGTTTTACCTTGATTTGAGTTGTTTACCTTTTTTTAAAGTTCTGTTGACAAAATTAAAAGCAATCAAATTTTTGAGATAAGGTTACAAATAATTGCAGAAATTGTCAGCCAGCCAAACCCAGGTCAGCCCAAACAAATGCAGGTCCTTATTTACCTGACTGTGTTTCACCAACTGATTTAAATTAAAGTTGCTTTTTACTTTTGTTTCCTTTTCTCTGATGTCCTTTTTTACCTGAGGATGTGATGCAGAGTTATGACAGTTTGTTCATCATTTGAACAAGACTTTCACTGTAAGAGCTTTCCCCTCTGTTCTCAAAGCACTGTCATAGTTTATAGAAAGTCCCATAGAACTACCTCAGTTGACTTAAAGCAGTGCTCTGGTGAGGGCAAAGGAGGAAATTTGAGGGGCTGGAGGGGAGTGGCAATAAGCAAAAGAAGATATCTAGGACAGCTTTATGGGACAACGTTATAGAATTCAGGATATTAATTAGTTACTTTGACATCAGCGAGGCCTTCACAATGTGTCATGAGGCTCAGTGTGATTCCTACACACAGAGGCCTCAAAATAACCCACATGTGGAATCACATGTAGGGGACCCCAGGTGCCATGTGATACACCTGGTGCTGGCAGCAGGAATGCAGGTGGAGCTCTCCAGAGTATTTCTGCCACTTCTCCCCAGATAATCCTGTTCTAGAAGGATGCAGGAAGCCATCCTTTTGGTTTCAATTGGAACAAGAAGTCTTTTAAAAATTAGTGCATACAAGTTTTTCCACCAAAATTTACAGTAACTTGTAAGCAGTGTGAAATGGCAGCAGAAGTGCAGAATGGGTCAGTGGTTTGCAGTAGTGGTACAGCTGCAGACTTCTGAACCTGCTGTGGTGGAGGCCAGCAAGAAATGTGACCAGTTCCAGCATGGGAGCAGGTTTTTGCCTCGAAGCAGTTATTTAAAATGCCAGCTAGTGACTTCCCTACCTGGAGAGGTGACTGCAGGCTTTGTGTTCAAAGGTTCAGGAAATACCTCACTTGTAGAATTGCTTACGCTAAATAAGGAAGTAGAGTGGTGAGAGATCTTGTTCTCAATGAAACCTGTTTAGAAATAAAACATCAAAGTGATTTTATTTAGGAGCATCTCTTCTGCAGAAAAAAAAGCAAGTTTGGAGACCAAAACTCTTCAACAGACTCTAGTGCTTGTTTACTTGTAGTGCTTCAGTCCTCTGGGCAAGTAATACTTCAGTATTGTTTTCTTTGGGTTGCTTTCTGTAACATGAACTACATTTTGCTGTCATTTTCTTAATTTTAAAAAGTGATACTTGTTGTTTGGTAGTTGTGTGTTAAACAGAATTTTCAAGAGTCTGTTGAAGAGGAGCGGGAGAGCAGGAGGAAGAAGTATTCCAGTCCCCAGAGGAGCCGTACAGATTCCAGTGAGCAAAGGTTAGCTTTGAGCCACAATGTTAAGAAATTTTTCTGTATTTGCTGTCAGTCTTTGACTGTGTTCTTTTACCTTGTAGGTAGTGATTTTTGTGAAAAATAGGGATTTTCTCCTTCCTTGACTGTGATACGTTGTGCATATGCTGATCACGTGCATAAGAAGTCTCCACAAGAAGTTGGCCTCTTGCAAAAGAGATCAAATATTCTTCAAATTACAATTCCTAGGAATGTCATCAGTTCCATTGTTTCCCTTGTTATGCAAATTAAGAACATTTTTGGGGTCTGTATTTTCTGGGGGCAATTGTTCATGCCGTGTCAGCATTACTTCTAAAGCCTGTTCTGGTTTGAGCATCATGACTGTCTCACCGTGCCAATTCCTACCCCAGCTTTCTGCAGACCAGTGAACCAGCTTTAAGATTCTGTACTTCTCTGTGTAATCTGTGAAATTCTGACTGGAGTGTTTCACTGCCCAAATGGATGGGAAGGGTGGACAGTATCTTTCCATGTTGCAAGCTTCTTTTTGAATTTTGTTTCTCTTTTTCACTGACACGGTCTACATCTGTCTTTCCTAGAACCAGAGAGAAGAAGCGGGACGATGCAAAGTGGAGGGACTATGACAGGTACTATGATAGGAGTGACTTGTACAGGGAGAAGTCTGGCTGGCGCCGGGGCAGGAGTAAGAGCCGGAGCAAGAGCAGAGGCTTGAGTCGGAGCCGCAGCCGCAGCCGGGGCCGCAGCAAAGACCGGGATGGCAGCAGGAGTGGTGAGTGCCCAGGGTGCTGCTTCAGAGAGCATCCTATTGCACTGACAGGTGTGACTTCTACATTCTGAATGATCTAGCAGGCAGGAGATGCCCTTGAGACAGTGGAGGAAATTCTGATAGTTTTGTGTTCTTGAATTTATTAACTAGGATGCTGTTCTTCAGAGTAGAACAATTAAGGGGGCTGTTTTCTTCTTTGCTAACCTCTTAATTTATCCACAGGTGTATTCCTGTGGAAGCAGTAGCTCATATTTTTGTGCTGTGTGTTCTGACAAAGCTGTTGATTTTATTCTTTTTTTCCTCATATGGACTGAACTTTTTGCAAAGCAGTGTTTCCCTCTTTCATTTTGTTACTGTGTATTTTTTAGAGAAGGCTTCTTTGCAGTTGCAGGTGGTTACCATATGATTGTTCTTTTAGGGCTAGTTCAGGTCTGTCGGAAAAGTAAGTGGAACAGATTACAGCATTCCACGCACCTTGAGACCTCGTTAGTTAAGGGCAGAGGTAGGTTTGTTGTTTCAGGCTTTTGCCCTTTTTTCTCTTTTAAAAGAGAGCTGTAAGCCACAGTGAAATAAGTAGTAGAGGAATGAACGTGCATTTTGCAAGGAAAACTTGGGTATTTTGAAGTTAAACCCCTATTTACGTTATATTTAGTTATTACTCCATTGGTAAGAGCTCCTTCAGGAGCAGTTCAATGTGCAGAATGCTGAGTATTTCAGAGAATGTGTTATTATTTCTTGCTCATGGTTCTGATGTACAGAATGAAACAGGAAGGCTGTACTTAGCTTTATTTTTTTTAAACAGAGCACCGAGAGAGAGAGAGATCAAAATACAAGAGTGAAAAAAATGATGTCGAAGGCTCATATAATCCAGTGTCCGCATCTCCCAGTAAATCCTCCGAACAGTATTCCTCTGCACAAGCTATTCCCAGTGCTGTAACTGTAGTTGCACCTGCACACCACCTTGAAGGCACATCAGAGAGCTGGTCAAACTACTTCAACAACCACAGCAATCCCAGTTCATTTGGCAGAAACCCTCCTCCTAAAAGAAGATGTCAAGATTATGATGGTAACTGTTCCTTAGTTTTCAGTTTTGTGCCTTATTTCAATATTTTTGTGGCCTTTTTTTTAGGTATTCACTGAATGTGAGCAGCAAGTCACACTGCAGCAGCATGCGATGTGTACCTTGTTGTAAGAGATGCAGAGATGCCCTTTATTGTACTGGAGAAATAACTAGTTCTACTGCAAGCAGTTTGCCTGTGCTGTGGCAGTTGCTGGATAAGAACATATGGAGTTTTTTCACAGTTCTCTCTATGCTAGACAAATACCTCAACCACTGGCAGTCCTGGTGCAGATTGCAGTGTGTGTGCGTTTAAAATAAACTGCAGTACTTCTGACTTTTTTTTCCATAGCTTTTATGATGAATGCATATAAGTTTGTATGCTTGTATGAAAAATTGTTCTAATTTTAATTATTTTGTGAAAGCTTACCTTACAATATAGTAACGTATCAGTGGATGCATGTTTTCTTTAGTAAAAAATTCCATGAAAACCTGAAATGTTATAAATCACTGAGAACTACTGCGTGTGTTTTCTAACCTGAGGTGAAATGTCCTGTTTTGCAGAGCGAGGCTATTGTGTCCTTGGTGATCTCTGCCAGTTTGATCATGGAAACGATCCTTTAGTGGTAGACGAAGTTTCCTTGCCCAGCATGATCCCGTTCCCGCCGCCGCCGCCGGGACTGCCGCCGCCGCCACCGGGGCTGCTGCTGCCGCCGCTGCCGGGGCCGGTGCGCGGCCTGCGGCTGCCGGTGCCGCAGCCCCACCCGCAGCCCCCGCCGCCCGTCGTGCTGCCCGTCCCGCGTGAGTTGCAGCCCCTCTGCTAGCAGTGCTGTTCAGAGCAGTGCCCAGAGCTGCAGTGCCCAGAGCTGCAGCCCCTCTGCTAGCAGTGCACTGTTCAGAGCAGAGCCCAAAGAATTCTGAATATTCAGCTGGTAAACCATGGTGTTCCTAGCACTGCAGACTGAATTAAATTGGGTGGGGGAGTGGAGTTGGGGATCTTTCAGCTCACCTCAGTGGTAGTTGGTGGTGATTGGATTGGTCACTGACACTAGCCAGGCTTTTCCCTGCTGTAATGCAAGAAATGTTGTGATTCAGCCTCCTAGAGGCACGTTTTGCCTTTGAGGTGTCAGTGTGTGATGTGTTCTGTGGTGTTGTTGCAGGACCGCCTTTAACCCAGTCCAGCTTGATAAATAGTCGTGACCAGCCGGGGACGAGCGCAGTGCCCAGTCTTGCACCCGTGGGAGCAAGGCTGCCTCCTCCTCTGCCTCAGAACCTGCTCTACACAGTGTCAGAACGTAAGCAAATGCCTTTTGGTTGAAATCTGTTTGATGGAAACATTTTAAACTTTCTCTGATGTGTGAATAGAAATTACGATCTGTCTTCCTCCAATATGTACAAATCTAAAAAGAAGTCTGATGCCTCTCCCTGGGTCAGCCTGTCATCCATTCCAGGACGGAATGGCAGAGTGCTCTGCCCTGGTCTGAGGAGGAGCACTGTAGGGAGCTCTGGGTTTCATGTGCTCGCAGCACTCCAATTGTTGCGTGAGAAATGTTGCTTTCATCTTCAAGCCTTTTAGTGGGACATTAGTAGGTGAAAGATAGATTTGCAAACCTTTAACTTCTGTTTAACTTAGGCTTTATTACTCTCCAGTTTGGACTAATACAGATGAGAGCTTTTTTTTTTCCAGCTGTATGTCACAATATGTACAATAGTCTTCATAGACATCAGTGCTTTTTCTTTTCTTTTTCCAGAATCACCCTGATTCTAGCTTTCTAAAAGTTGTTACCTTTCACTGGACACATCCCTCTTTCTTAACACAGCTCAAAAATTTTAAAAGTATGTTTTACGAGGGAAAATAGCAAAATATCTGGAAAGTCCTAGATTGCTCAATTTAAATACAACAGAATTTTTTTCTTTTATAATTAAAGGATTCATGGAATTCCCATGTTCTCTATGACCAAAATAAGATAATTAAATGTCAGTGTTTTATAATATTCTCATCTGGGTTTTTTTAATATAAGTATTCTGAATTTTATTCAAAGAGAAGATCTAGTTCAGTTCATGATCCGTGTCATTTTATTTGTTACGTCCGTGCTTTTCAGAACTTGAGACACTCAAATTTATTAGATAATCTGTTCAGTTATCCCCAAGCCCTGTCGGGTGTTCAGGTGTCACCATCTGATCCTTTCAGCCCCAGAGCTTCTAATGGGTAATTCTGCCTGTCAGAGCTCACAGGGCTTCACAGTAATTCTGTTCTCCAGAACCTCTGGGGAGATTCTCATGTCCTGTTCTTGGACTGTTGTGGTAACAGCTGCTGGTTGCCCTCTTGCAGTCAATCATGTTCTAAATCAGGGAAGAGGAGCTTGTGGTTCTGCTCCTTCGAGGCTAGAGAAAGTTCTTGTTTTACAGCTTCAGGCTCTGCTATCAGTGTGGATATTGTGGGGCATCTGTTTTTAACTGTAGAGTTGTCTTTGTTGCTGCAGAATAAGGAACTGAGATTTTGGAGGCATTCATGTCTGTCAGATTCCCTTGTACAGGCATTTATTTTGTTCCTGTGGAGGCTCTTCACAGACTTCATTCTAGTTCTTGTACAGCTTTTCCTTTAAAAAGCTTAATAAAAGTGTTATTCTCAATTTGGACCTTGGGCTGGAGGAGCAATAGGCGTCAGTTGTTATCCTGTGTTCTTGCAGTGACCACTTCTAATGGAAATAATCATTAGTACCTTACCTAAGCTAGGCAGCTGATCTCACTCTTATGTGAAGAGAGTTCAGGAGGTAAGTATTGGTTCCATTACCTCATTTCTCAGCTTTCTTCGATTGAAATCATTTTAAGTATGTTCTTCACCTAAAATTCTTTTCTGAAGAGGGCCAGGCTGTTGGGCAGCAAAGGCTGAAAATCTCTTTACATCTTAGACTCTACAGTGTAAATGCTGAAACCAAAGGCTGTGTTGTTGCCCTTAAAGCACAGCCAGATGTTGGCAGGCTGTCACACAGACCCCTCAGGCCTTTCCAGGCAGTGGATCAGCAGTACTCTGTGTTGTGACCTGTGTGCTTTGGACAAACAGTACTGGAATAAAAACCAAAAGAGAATGTGTCCAGATAGGCTAGCCCTGGAATTCAGGTGAGGGTTTGCAATGGCTGCACAGGTTGGCTGTACGACCTCTCTTCTCTTCATCCAAGACAGCTTCTGACTCTTGGACATCAGTGCACTTCCTTAAAGGAACATTAACCCCGAGTCTTAAACTCACTTGAAAAATTCTGTCGTTTCTCTCCTTTTTTTTAGATACATATGAGCCAGATGGCTATAACCCTGAAGCTCCTAGTATTACCAGTGCTGGTAGATCTCAGTATCGGCAGTTCTTTACGAGAGCACAAATGCAGCGTCCAAATCTAATTGGCCTAACATCTGGGGAGATGGATACAAACCCTCGAGGTAGGAAGGGTCATTGCTGTTGCTATTTTTGTCCAAGACCCTCAACACTTTTCCCTCTTTTCAGGCTGAAAGCTCTAGTTTTTCTCACTGATCTAGTGTTTCAGAGATTTTTTTTTTTGACATTTCTACCTTTTCTAAGTGCTAACATACCCGTATTAAAATCCAAGCAGCCTTTTTGATTAAAAATAAGCACTTGCTTGGGAATGCTACAAGGGTTTTGTTGGTTGGTTGGGGTTTTATTCCTCTTAAGCCTGTGAAGGTATTTTTCAGGTACTGGTAGCTCCTAGAAAGAAAAATGGTGCCTAAAGATGGATTTAGCAGCACAGTCTGCAGACTGCTTTTGGTCAGCTGAGGGCACAGAGGTGATGATCGATGCTCCTTGCCTTGGCTGTTGTGATAGTAGTGAAGAAGGGAGCTACCGTGGCATGTTTTGGTGCTTCATGCTCTGACTCTGTCAGCCAGGTGTTCTCTCTGAAATGAACATCACAGGTATCATTCCAATTTCCCAGCTGATGGGAATCCCAGTCTGCATTTACATAATTTCTAGCCCCTGCCTGAATGGATGTGGCTGCTGTCTCTTAGTGGTGATGTGCACAAACCATCTTTTAGGGAAGGGCATAGGTCAAGGCTCTTCAAAGTTTAGTTGTAGTAGCAAAACTTTCTTACTCCCTTGTGTATTCCCGCCCTGATTCTTAAAACCAAAAATGTTAAGTTTTGGGTTTTATTGTTCTATTTTAGTATTTCTTACTCAGTAGATCAGAAAGATTTTTTTTTTTTTTCATTTTATTTTCAATATTTCGTTCCAATACTCATCTCATAAGGAATATGGTTAAATATTATTGTAGAAATTGTTGTTGCTGTTTGCATCTTAATTACAGTTACAGAGGCAGGGTTGGGGCTTAATTGAGAGCCCATCCCAGGGGTAAGGCAGGGGTGAGTGCTCCGTGTAGAGCCTCACACAATATGTTTTACTGTCTTTGTCACAGGTGTGAAAGGTTTGCTCTCAGATCATCCTCCAAAGTGAGGATGCCATGCCCAGAAATGCCCAGTCTGTTCTCACCAGTGTAACCAACAGAGCCCTGGCTTATATAAAAGCCATAGAAATTTATATATATATATATATATATGTATGTATATGTGTATACATGTATAACTCAGACTTCTTTTTAGGGGTTGAATATTTGGCATTCACAGGAGACTAACATAAAGGGCATAATCTTGAAAAGGTTGCAAATAAATTTCTAGCAAACTTTGTGGTGGTAGAATTTGCTTCATACTTTAACTAGTCTCTTAAAAGAGTGCTTAGTTAACTGTTGCTGAAACCTGGCTGGAGGGCTGGCAGTGGAAAGAACGGGTTCTTGGTTGCTTTTGCTGTCAAGGGTTCACACAGGGCAAGCTGGTTTTTAATTCAGCCACTGCCCATTGCAGAACTCTGACCTGTTTCTTCAAGCTAGTACTAGCCTTAAAGGTCAAAAGCAATCCCTCCCAGCTGGACCATGTGTATTTCTCTCAGGATGTTTAGTTAGGCTAGGGAATGATCTGAACGATTTTGTTCGGAAACAAAACTGACCAATTTGATAAAGTCGTCCTAATGTTTATGTTTTTAATCTCAGTTCTGTTTTGCTGTGTGAAAGCTTTTCCATGTGTGGTGGAATAACAGAGGCCTTTTTCCTTCCCTCCAGCTGCCAACATTATCATCCAAACTGAGCCTCCCATTCCTATTCCAAATAACAGCAGCAATGTCACTAGAGTTGTCCTGGAACCAGACAGCAGGAAGAGATCTCCAAGCAGCATGGAATGTCCACCATTGAAGAAACCCTGGCTGGGAAAGTAAGAGTTAGCTACAGATGTTAATTCAAATGTACTCCATTGCTGTCAGTGCTGTGAACATTGCTGTTCACCAGTCTCTGAAATTTGGGATGGTTGGGTCAGAAGGTTTGTGTCCCCGTAGTATGGAGACTAAACATGGGCCCAGGGGAAGCTCTCTTTTGTTAGTACCTAGAGGGTGTACTTTTTAGGGGAAAAACGCAATTTAGATTTATGTTAACATTTGGTGCCTTACTTAGGCACACATGTGCTTATCTGAACTCTTCCTGTTCTCCTTTTCTCTAGGCAAGTAAATAACAACCAGAATAAGCCAGGGTTTTTGAAAAAGAATCAGTATACTAATACAAAATTGGAAGTTCGAAAAATTCCACCAGAATTGAACAATATTACACAGCTCAACGAACACTTCAGCAAATTTGGAACTATTGTAAACATTCAGGTAAAAAACCAGTCTAGTTTTATGTCTGTGTTTGGTTATTTTATTTTCCCTGAAGCCTGCTTGAATACTGCATAGTTTCTTTGAGAGATCTTAGTGGAGACAAATTGGGAGAGAGGAGGTAATCAAGTTCAGAGAAACCTTTTCTGGTCTACTGTGTATTATTATCTTAATTCTGTAATACATTCTGCCTTCATGATGCCTGATAACATTTGAAAGGCTGGCAGGTTTAACAGTGTCTAAACCGACTCAGGCTTTTGAGCAACTTGTGTATAAGTTTTGAAAGATATGATCTGACATTTTGTCTTATATGACAGTCTTATGGTATTTGATGGTCAGGATTTTGACAAGGATGCTACAGAAGAGTCTTTATCGGCTTATCAGTTTGTTACCACTTGGCATCCTAGAACTGGCTCCAACTCAAGGGTGTCCTTGCCTTGTAAAAAAAAAAGAAAAAAAAAACACTTTAAAAATAGTAGTTAAAATAACATATAATTTCCATTTATTTTTCTAGACAAAAAGGTTGCCTCTCAAGTCCTCAGTCAGAGGTCTAAATAAGAGACAGATACCTGGGAAGCCTCTGTATTTCTTGATAACTTTGTCTTAGCCCAAAAGATACTGTGGTGCTTTTTGTGCCTCTCTAATGAAATGATGTATTTCAAATAATACTATCTCAATCACTACACTAGAAAGTCCAAGGTACATTTTTATTGCTGTGATACTAATTTTCAGAGAAAAAGATGCTTATTCAAGACTTGGAGATGCTGCTGCATTGAAGGTGTGGTGAGACTTTGCACTGTGTGCCCTCGGGCAGCACTTGTCCTTCAGGAGGCTGGGATAAAGAGCCTTTGGGTCAGCAGCAGTGGTACCAGACATACCCAGGGCACTGCACAGTGCTCTGAACACGTGATGCTGTTGGTGGAGGAGTCTTATTCATTCATTCATCTATGTATTTGAATGTGTCTAAACTTTGCTGCAAGTACGTGTAGTTTGCCAAAAGCTACTTTGCTTTAATTACAGAGAATGTCTTACCAGCGTTTTGAGCTGTTGATACACTGGATACTCAGTTCATCACTGCACATCATTTGTAGATGAGTTTGCTAATGATTGAAATGTTTTCTTCCTTGAGAAATAAAGCATTTGTGAATTTTTGCTTTAGGTGGCTTTCCAGAACGATCCTGAAGCTGCTCTCATTCAGTACTTGAACAACGACGAGGCGAGGAAGGCCATTTCCAGCACGGAGGCGGTGCTGAGCAATCGCTTCATCCGGGTGCTGTGGCACAGGGAGAGCGAGCAGCAGCCCCCGTTGCTGCAGCAGCAGCAGGCGCCCGCCCCGCAGGCCCTGCAGCACCTGCAGCAGCAGGCCCTGGCCACGCCACCCGCCGTGACCATGCACAGCAGCCTGGCCAAGGTGCGTGCTGTCGAGGGCCTCAGCAGCCTGCCCAAGTGGCTGCTGCTGCAGAGAAGTCAAGGATCTAACCGTGATGTTTTCAAATCTGTGCATGCACAGGTGATGAACAAACCCCTGGCATCTGGTGCCTACGTCCTGAACAAAGTCCCGGTGAAAAGGCGCCTTGGGGCAGCGGGTGGGAGCCAGCCTGAGCTCAGCCAGCCCGGGGCTGGGGCGGAGGAGTCTCAGGTATGTTGAGAGTGGACCATGGTCGTGCTCTCAGGTACAGCTTTAGCTTGTCAGCCAGAAATGAACAGGCAGAGAGAACTTGTGAATTGTTCTACTTGGTTCTGTCCCTTCTCAGTAATGTTTCATGCAGCCATGGTCAGTCACTTCTTCCTCGTTTCATCAACTGTTTATATGGAACAGGGACAGTGACTTCAGGAACTATCAACCACAACGCTATCAGTGTTGTAAATAGCATAAAGTATTTTCAGCAAGTCTGACAGCCTGTATGTGAGACCAGGCTTTTGTTGGCAAATGTAATGGCTCTCCCAGGAATTTCTGAGCTTTTGCTTTGGTTTAACAGCAGTGCTGGAAGCTTAGAGAGTACTTGTACCTGGAGTTGAAACCGATAAGTGTTCAATTCACACTGGTACCGTAGTGCACCATGTGTTCTGGGCCATGGGGAACTCTTTTTAAGAAAGGAAGCATGGAGTGGCTTTTGCTGCCTTACTTGATCAGAAAGTGGGATGTTGGGCTGCAGATGTGGAGCTGAAACTAAGGCAAGGACAGATCATCACCTTCAGCTGTGTCCTGGTGGGATTCAAGATGCAAAGGGAGTCCGCCATGGAGCAGGAAAGACAGTATCTTTTTCAAAAATCCTTTTAACTGGACTGATGCCTTTATCCATGTGTTTTAATTGCTTTGGTCTTCCTGCCTCCTTGCACAAATCTGGACATCTGAGTTGGGGTTTCAGGGAACGTGGTCTGCTGAAGTTCCCTGCTGGTATATCACGGTCACTTTGAAATATTCCCTATTTTACTGTGTGGTTTTTTACTATTTCAGATATTTCCTACTTCTGCAAGCCACTCAAAAATGGTTTACAGTTCTCCAAACTTGAAGACAACTCTGAAGTCTGGTGCAGGATCTAAACCTCATGACGTGCAAGAAGCCCTTAAAAAAAAGCAGGTACTTAATACTTGATGGCTGCCTGACAGTGTAAGGAGCAAAGTGCTTTAAATACAAGGTTTGATGGGCACCTGAAACCTCAACCACTCCTCTATAGCTTTATATGTGGGTATGGAACTAGTCCTTGTTATGGGGCAGTCTTGCAAACACTCCTTGGGGTAATCATGCATGGAGTGTCTTTTGGGGCTCTCTTACTTGATGCACTTGGCCATGTCAGGTTTTCTGGGTTTGCTTGGGGTTTTCTGGATTTAATCTCTGCAGGTATGAGACACTTGCATGACAGTGCACACAGTATGTTTCTTAAGAGGTGTCTGAAAGGGGCAAAATGTTAGTGAAGTACCCTACAGCAGGAAATTAGGGTTTTATTTATTTATTATGTATTGAATCAGCTGCATTTCATACTTGTGCTTTTTGCAGAGGGTACTTTTGATTGTGGATTTCACTTCCATAGCTTGAGGAGGACAATATGATCTGTATGAGTACATATATGAGCTCTGTGAGTACATACAATGCTAGACTGGTTTTTACTGATGGAAAGAATTTTCTCCTCTTACAGGAGGCAATGAAACTCCAGCAAGATATGAGGAAAAAGAAGCAGGAGATGTTAGAAAAACAAATAGAATGCCAGAAGGTAAGTCTTGTTTGTGACTAGTAAATACATTTTGATTTTGTACACCTGTCTGTTGAGGGCTGTTTTTTCCTGGAATTTTATGTTCCTGTTCTTTTATTATTGTATAGATGTTGATATCCAAGCTGGAGAAAAACAAGGCCATGAAACCAGAAGAGAGAGCAGAAATTATGAAGACTTTAAAAGAACTAACAGGAAAAATATCTCAGTTAAAGGATGAATTAAAAACTTCATCTACAACCTCCACACCATCCAAATTGAAGTCCAAGACAGAGGTATTTATTGTGCAACGCACTTGCCTGCTTGGTTTTTGTAACTATTTCTATTAATATGTCTTAAAAATGCAACAGTATTAGACCAACACTTGCAAGCGGCATTTTAATGTGAGTGATAACCGTGGACAAACAAGGCACGGGTGAAGGAGCTCCATGACCTGGTTTTGCTTGTAGCTCATTCATGTTTGTACCAGTTCTAAAGCAGAGAATTCTGGTTCCTTCAAAAAATGGAGGGGACCACACACATGCAGAGGCAATTAGAAGAAAACTGAACTTAGAGAAAAGTATGGCTATTGTGTCCTGATTTTTCTGTAACCTTTGCACTAAAGTACTGCTGAAGTGGAATAAAACATTACAACTGTGCCTTACAGTTCTGCCCTTTCCTTCTGTTTTCTCTTCCCACCTCATTTTCTGCCAGGCCCAGAAGGAGCTGTTGGATGCAGAGCTGGACTTCCATAAGCGACTGTCCTCCGGAGAGGACACAACGGAGCTGCGCAAGAAGCTCAACCAGCTGCAGGTGGAGGTGAGCTGCTCTGCATGCTGCTGTGCTGAGTGTGAGTGCTGGCTGCTCAGCCCCTCTCACTGGCATGGCTGTGTTCTTCCCCAGGCTGCCCGCCTGGGCATCTTGCCGGCTGGCCGAGGAAAGGCAGCGGCAGCCCCGGGGAGGGGCCGTGGCCGGGGCCGCGGGGGCAGAGGCCGGGGGATGCTGAACCACATGGTGGTGGATCACCGGCCCAAGGCGCTCACCGTGGGAGGCTTCGTTGAAGAGGAAAAAGATGAATTGTTACAGCACTTCTCTGTAAGTGTGGCTTGTAAATTAATACACGTTTCCCTTACTGCTATAAAATCAGGTCATATTAGCATAGCAATAAATCTGAGCTTTTGCCCAAAATACAAGGGCTGTAATAGTGATGCAGCTGATGCAGCTGGGGCTCCTCTGGCTCTCACTTTTCTGCCCAAAAAATCAGATTTCAGTGTCACTTCAGTACACTATAATTGTACCATGATTATGAAAGTCAAGGAGAACATTACTGCTAGTTTTAACGAACTTTTTCTCACAGAAATTTGGAGATATCGAAGATCTTCAGGAAGAGGATTCCCCATTAAGTGTTGTTGTAACTTTTAAGTCCCGCTCAGAAGCTGAGAATGTAAGTAATGGATATATTTTTTCACGTATCTAAAATAAGAGTTTTAAACTACTTGTGTCTACCTTTGTATTTTAAAATTTCAGAGGCTTTGATCCCCCAGTTTGAGCTTGATAGTGCTTGGTGCTGCTGCAGGTAGTGCTGCTGAAGGGGAGGTACCTGCTGGTGGCACAGGGCTTTCCCTGGTAAAGCTGCACATCCCTGGCAGTTCAGAGCTCTGCTCATCCTCTCACAGTGCCGGGGCAGGAGCAGGATTTGGCAGATTTGGATGGGGCTGAAGTTGCTCTTGGAGCACTGAAGTGGGTGGTTGTGGTTTATATATTTGAGCTCTTCAAACATGCCTCTGTACCACACGCTCTGGGTCTGGTTTGTTGCTGATGTTAGAAGTTGTTTGCTTGGTCCTCTCTCTGAAAATGTCTGCATTTAAATATGACTCAGGCTGCTAACCAGGGATCCCGGTTCAAGGACCGACGGCTCCAGATCTCGTGGCACAAACCCAAGGTACCTTCTGTGTCCACAGAAGTTGAGGAAGAGGAGTCTAAGGAAGAGGTATGGAAATCTCTTAATAACCTGATCATTCTTACTAGAATCTAACACCTGAGAGCTCTTGGGATACAGTTCCCTGTGTGCTGAAGAAACTTCATCAAAGATGTTTTTACAAACCAGGAACTGAACTGGTTTTCATTTCACTGGGTATGTTTCCCACATTTTAAAACAGAGAAAATGGGGGAAAATAAGATGCTTTGTGGATGGGCTGTTAATTTGTCAGTGGTGTAAACAAGCCTCAGGTTCAGTATGTGCAGGTTGCAAAGCCTTTTACTTCGTGCTCTACTCTAGGAGAAGTTTGCGTTCTTCCCTGTAATTCACCTTAACACCTTAAGCTTTTAAAGGTTATTTTGTTGTGGCATTTAACAGAAACCTTGTTTGGGAGAGGGTGAGTGCTGGTTTATTCCTGCTTCCCCTGAAGCTTTGCTCTCTTTCTCTTTCCTGACATGAGGCTGCTGTTCTTGTGCTAAAACTGTTGGGATGTAACTGTGTGAGTTTGAGAGAGACGCTGACACCCGCACCAGACACCAGTACAGCTGGTGCTGTGAGCTGGGATGTGTCCCTGGGCAGAGCTTGGAACTTGTGTCTGAAAGTTCATCTGTTTTCTTCCTCCAGGAGACTGAAACCTCAGATTTATTTTTGCACGAAGATGATGATGATGATGATGAAGATGAGGATGAATCCCGTTCTTGGAGAAGATGAAACTTGATGTTCGAAATGTATAATTTTAGGAATATAGTTCAACCTACATCTTTTAAACGTTTATTTAAGGAAGTTGATGAGCCAAAAAGAGCTTTACTTTCTTTTCAAACCACAAAATTTACCATGAGCAGTTTGGTATGAAAACATTTGGGACACAGAGCTGTGAGACTGAGCTAGCCAAAGGCCCAGGAACTTCTTACAGGATTATCAAGCTCACCAGGGTGGTGATTTTTTTCTATTTAAGAAGGATAAAAAGGGGGGGAGGGGGTTGGAAATCAGTATTTTCTTGTCCTCTTTTTGTGTCACCTGTATTATCTTGTTTTGGGTTTTTTATAATGTGATTGGTTTGTTAGTTTATAATTGAAAAGATATTACAGGTTTTATTTAGCAATATTATGGGGTTAGGGGAAGGACAAACTTTCATTAAATATTATGAAAGAAAGACTGGCCTCATTTGCTCGTTGAAAAAAGGGAGCATTTTATTTCCTGTCGAGTCTCATGTTGTAGGAATTATTTGTGGCTAGATTCCTAAATCATTTACTTCAGTATGTGTGACAGCCACACTATATGTTGTGCTGCTTTTTGTAAGAGGAGGTAGAAGAAACAATTTAACAGGATATTGTTATAACATTCTCCAGTTCACTCTGTTTCTCCAGATTCTGCTTCACAGAAAACATCAGCTGCAGCACACACAGGAGTGGATTTTCACTCCTTGATTTCCTTCTGTCGTTTCAGCATAAGGCTCTGTGTAGGTCAGGCTGTTTATTGCATTTCAGTATTTGTGAGCAAGAATGGAAGGAGTTCCAATCTTCCCCAAAAGCAGCTCAAGTGGCCCCTGTCTGCCAGGAGCAGCTTTCCTCTCCCAGCTGGCAGCCGAGTTCCAGCAGAGCCCCGTGGGTTCAGCCCGCAGCACTGGGTGTCCTGCCTGGCCCCAGCCAGGCTGCAGCGTCCCAGCGTTCAGGGCTGCTGTGCAGTGGCTCTGCTCGTGTCCCAGGGCACTTCTGCAGCCGTGTCCCGCTCTCAGTGCCTCTCTGCTGCCCTGGAACCCAGCAGGGCGTGTGCTGCGCTGGCTCTGGGCTCTCTGCCTTGTGGCTGGGGCTCCCAGCAGCACTTCCCTGACTGCCCACTTGCCCTGGCCGCTCCTCAACACGTTTTTTGTGCATTTCTGCACAAAATCGGCACCGTGGCCGTGCACAGCACTCTTCTTCTTGAATGATTGCCAGTGTAGGCCCCAGTAATTCCTGACTGAAGGACAGCATCCACCAAACCCTTTACTTGCCCGTGGCTCTGGGTGTGGCCAGGACAGGTGCTGAGCACCCTTTGGGGTCACAGCCCTGCTGACTACCCTTGTGCTGTGGTGAGGTATCCAACTTGTATAATGTCCTGTTTCTTGTCAGCTGAAGGGAGTGTCTCCAGTATTCTGTCTGTTTCCAAACCTCTCCTCTTCCTAGATTAGGACTGTCCTGCTAATGCTGAGACTAAATTCCAGGCATGAAGAAATGGAGGAGAAACCCACCCCATGAATTTACAAGAATGTCTTGCTCTTCTCCCATCACCTCTAGGGGTTTTAATGTCTGTGGCACAGTGTGTACCTTGAGAAGTCCATTGCAGCAAACATGTCCGAGTCCTGACAACTTAAAAAAGGAGAGAGGGATCAAAAGGATTTATATATTTTTTTGTACAGAGTTTTTTCTTAAACTGTATAATTTTGTAAATATTTTGCTTTTTTGTGTACTAAAATTACCGGCGTATAGATTTCAATAAGAATTGTTGTATTTTTGTATTTGGAAAATGAAAATTACAGTGGATTAATTAAGCTGTAAGAAAAACTGCGGTATCCTTCGACACACACAGAATGGATTCCTTTTCATATGGTTTTAGCTCTAAAGTGACACTGGGGTGGCCCCTGGGGCAGGGCCAGGGCCGGGGCAGCGAGGCCATCGCTGAGAGCTGCAGCCTGTTGCAGTTTGGCCTCAGCTGAGTGCCAGTGCCAGCCCGGAGGTGGCTGCTGCCCCCAGCCTGGCAGTGCCCCAGCCTGGCTCTGCCCGGGCACAGGGGCCGCAGCTGGCGCCGGGCTGGAGGAGAGGAGCTGTGTGAAACCAGCCTGCCTTTTGCTTATGGACGCCCCACGTTCCAGGGCCTGCGGGGCCTGCCTTGGGCTGGCTCGGATGTCTGTGTTTGCAGAGGCAGCAGGGCAGTGCAGCTGGTTCGTTTTGTGGTGATGCTTTACTGGGAAACCCGCCTGTACCTTGGGCAAAACTGCCCTCAGGGGTACTGTGTGCCCCTGCCAAGTGTGCCAGCCTGAGCTGGGGGACAGACACTGAAGGATGAGGGGAGGGGGAAAGAAAGTCACTGCAGAGAATTCTCTCCCTTTCTGAGCTGGATTAACATGAGCAAAAATAAAACCACCTCAAATCTGAAACCTTTTCCTGCTCAGGAAAGCACCACTTTAGCAAAATCATGTGAAAAGGAACAAAGCTCCTCTTGGTGTATAGTAACCTTGTACTATAGTTTTTACAGATTGTGAACTTGTGTAATAGGATAATAGCAGATATTGTTGAATTTCTAATTGTTTACACATTAAAATTCATATATGTAATGTTTGTTTTATTGATTACAAGCCAAATTTCTAAGATGCATGTTGACTTTTTGCAATAAAGTTATAGTATGGAATGGTTCAAGATTTAGAAAAGACAAAATTCTAACTGAAATAAATTGGAAGGAGAACCATTCAAAAAAATTACAACTCAGAAAAAGAGCATTATCACTTCTTTGGGGGAAAGCGGGTGTGTGAAGGGGGATTTATGTGTGAGTAACATGTGTACAGGTTTGGTCTAGGTCAGAGCCCAGAGGAATCTTCCAAGTGTCTCAGTGCTCTGGAACCGAATGTGTTGAGACAGGTAAATGGATGGGGGAGGACAGAGGGTGGAGGGGCTCCAGTAAAGGTTGTTGGACAGGTGTGGGGGAGCTCAAAGGTTAACAGAAGCTGGAGGAATCTGTACAGTCCAGGGTGGGTTCCCAGTCCCTTGCAGGTTTGCAGTGTTCTGGACTGTTGGATACAAGTCCTGGCAGGACACACCTGGCTCCTTTGTGGGTTGGGGTGAAAACTAATGTGTTCTGTTAATACCTTTATTTTTGGTCTTTGGCCCTTCCACCAGCTCCTGTTATTCCCTCCTGCAGCCTCTCCCTGTACCTGCTGTGCCCAGGTGCTCAGGGTGATATAAAATACGTGTTTCTCTTCTGTTTGCTGAAGAGCCTTTCTATGACAAGCCCGTGGCTTTGAGACATCTCAGGGCCAAGAGTTAAAACTTTGGAATCTGCCCCAGACCCTTTCCCTGGAAAAAGGATGTACAAAAAATTGGAAGGGGAGTAGCATTTGTGTGTGTGTGTGTGTGGCTTTGGATGTATTTTTTTCCCCCAGCCATTCCAGATGTGATCTGAGAGTTCCCTGAGCACAGCAGCAGCGTTCAGCAGGGAGGGACAGCTCTTGCCGCAGCCCTGGGCCACAATCCTGCCAGGAGCCCCTTGGGAGGAAGAAAACGTCTGCAGGAACTATTTGAAGGGAGCAGTCACATGAAGGTAAGTTGTTGGTGTAATTGTCAGGCCAAGCATCTCTTTGTTGTCTCTAGTCGAGGCTGTCTGGAATACAGCATTAGCTTCTGGAGAAGGTTCCCAAAGGTGACAATCTAATTTTAACTTATCTCTGGAAACGGAGGACCCAGTTCTGTCCTCTGGAGCAGGTTGTGTAACACGTCTGGGCCTTTACCGATGAGATCACTGATAAAAGGGGCTTTCAAAAGGGAAAAATAAGTTTGGTGTTTCTCTGGAGGTTTTCATATGCTTCCACCACTTTATTCCACAGCAGACTTATAACTGTGATGATCAAAACCTAAATTCATAAACTGGAGCTCTTTCTTTCTCTCCAGGATCATTCCACGGACAATTTCCAATGGCTGTGAGGAAATCTCAGGCTGATCTGGGTGCAGGGAGGCAGGCAGGGCTGACAGGGCTGAGGTGGAACCTCATGTGCCAGGTTACCAGGTGCCTCTTCACCTGGAGCTTCCCCCTTTTTCCCACAAAACATCCGTTTTTTTTTCCACTACTTTTTCATGGCATATGGAAAACGCGGTTTTTGTCAGGAACATCTCTTGTATTTGAGGTTCAGAAATATGTTTTACCTGGCCATTTCACCTTCAGCCCGTCCAGAGCCCATGACAGGGGCTGTCACCCCTCGGTGGAGGTGAGGGACCAGAGGGACCCCAGCAGGAGCAGTGACCTGCCAGTGCAGCAGGTCCTGTGCTGGCTCTGGGTGCCCGGGGACAGGGGCCTCCTCGGGGTCACTTTTCTGGGAGCCGGGCTCAGCCGGGCAGCCCGGGGGTGTCCTGACCCTGTCCCGGCCCTGGGGACAGCCCGGACTGCCAGGGCTGGGGAAAAGCCCGGGCGTGGGGGCACCAGCATCGCCCCCGGCTCAGGGCTTTGGCTGCTCTGCTGTGTTCATTTCTCTTTAGGAGCCGAATTCCTTTTGTGCCTCGTCTTGCCGAGCCTCGGTGGTGTGGCAGGGAGCTGCTGGAGCAGCCTGCGTGACGTGGGAGTTAAATATAGCCCGTCCTGCACTGGCAGCCTTAAACACTCCTGCCAGTGATTTATTTAAACACTGATCAATTATACATTTCTTTAGTAATTCATGTGAAAATTATTTGAAGTCAACTCAACATCACATACCTCTCTCTGCGTGCTCTGTCGTGGTGAAAGCTCTGTCAGACACTTCCATCCACTCTTCCCTTTAGCTGCTTCCTGTGACTTTGGGTTACTTGCGGGTCGCAGAGGGGCGAGGGGGGCTCCTGCAGCAGGCTCACTCCCAGCTGCTGGTGTGGGAGCCCAGAGGGAGCCAACTCTGGCTTTGAGCAGCCGGGCTCTCCCTGCCTCTGGGAGCAGACTGCGCCTTCCCTCTGCCCGCGCTTCCCGGGACGCCCTGGCCAGCCCTGTCCGTGCCCCTGGCTGTGGGAGTGGGTGTGAGGATGCAGAGGGGCTGCTCCGGGGCACTGCAGGGCCTAGGTGCTCGTGCTCCCACTCTTCTGGCACCTTTGCAGGGCAGGGAACAAATACCCTTCACTGAGTTAGAGGGTGAGACTGGGGGCAGTCCAGCATGTCAGTGTTGTTCTTCTGTCCCCCCAAGATTGCCCTGAGAAGATACAGCTGTTTCACTTGTTGATTAGCAAAAACATTAGGAGACCTACTGTTTCAGGACATGAATAATTAATGTTTGTTCCTCATTAACTTCTTTGTGGCAGAGTCCTGTTAGATGCATTTAGATGTATTTCTAGAATTAGGAGCAAATACAACCAGATGCCTGGCAGCTGAGTGTTCTGTTCCACCCGAGGAAAGCACTGCCCCTTTGCTCCCATCCTCTCTGGCAGGAAGGGGAGAGTTTGTTCTGATCAAGGACTGATGCATCCTTTACTGCAACTTTCATTTCAGTGAATGATACAAGTAAAAAATTCTATAGTTCATGTGTACTACAAGTGATTAAAGGAAGCCCCTCCCAAGAGAGTGGCCACCTGTTTTCCTGGGATCTCAAAACAAAACCCTGCTTCCTGAAAAATTCAAAACTAAGTTGATAAGCTTTCCACCTGCTGCTGCTGGACAAGGCTGGTTATCCTGCCCCCGTCATCCAGCAGAGCAGAGCTGCAGCACAGCTTCAGCACTTCTTGTGCTGTAGTATGGCCACAATGCTCTGCTTTGGGGTTTGGTCTGGGACTAACACCTACAAACACTTGCTGAGCCCCTGGAGCCACCTGTGCCAAGGACGTGCCTGAGAGCCCTTCTGCAGCTGGCAAAGCTCTGCCTGGGCTTCAGTTATAGAGGAAGAGAGAAAGCACTTCCTACCTAATCTGAAGCGATGCACAGACCCCAGATGCTTCCCCCTCCCTCTCCTCGGAAGGAAGTTCAGCACTGGCCCAAGGCTGAGTCCCTCCTGAGCTCTCTGGTGGGTTTGTGCAGGGTGGCCCTCACTGTCAGACCTGCAGGTGCTCCCTGTCTGCAGAGGAAGCCCATCCTTGCTGTGATGCCACTGGCAGCTGTTCTCTTTAAAACACTTTCCATCCCATCCCCACCTGTGTTAAAAACTCCCCGGAGTGATGGGGGTCCCGCCCTGGTCCCTCCCTTTAACCCTCCAAGTTCTTCTGCAGAACTCCCTTTCAGGCCCCATGGTACCACGCAAGGCACAGCCCGACCTCGAGCTGCTGTCCCTGAGCCATGCTTCCAGACCTGCAGTGGAACAGGCTCCACAAAAGCAAGAGCTCTGGAGGACACTGGAGACCCAGAGGAAGCATCAGTACCAGACTCTTTCCTTTGGAAGCCTGACACTGCCTCAGTGACAGACAGCTCCTGTAACTTAGCAACTTTTTTTGTGCTCTGCTAAGGTGGGTTCTTCAATCTCCTTAATGAATAAGAGAATCAGGCCAGGTAATTGATGCTTGGCCATTTAGCTGATGAATAATTGACTGGGTAACTCGAGATATTTCCTTGATCAGATTGTGCAGTGGAACAGCCATATCATCCGGGGTGCAGCATGGCTCACAACTTAGGGGCGCTGGAAATGTGCTGTGCAAGCTCAGGTCTAGTGGAACCTTCCAGAGTCAGCTCTAGTCCTCTTCCTCCTCATGGGCCAGGCCCATGAGCTCAAACAGTGGGCCCATGGAACCTCCTGAGGTCCAGCAAAGCCTGGTGATGATCCCTTCTAACACAAACCGTCCCCTGATTCTGTGATTTTGGTAACTGGCTGCATTGTCGCAACAGAAATTATCACATAAATCTTGACGCAGGTCTGGAAGCTGGGTTTCTTTTCCAGATCCGCAGTGAGACAAACACAAGGGCACAGCAATGAGACTTGGCCAGGCCTCGAGGTGAGCTGGGGAGGGGAGCAAAGCCTCCAGAGCAGGAGCAGCAGGGGTAAGGTGCAGGGAGGTGTCCCTGTGTGAGCTGTGTGTGCTTTAGCTGCCCCACAGGCAAACCCTGCAGCAGCCTCCTCCAGAGGAACTGGGCATGTGGTTGTTCTGAACAGCAGCTGAAGAACATTTAAAGAGACGACTTTTGCCAGCTTTGTGACTGTAACACACAGTGCTGTGCCCAGCCCATGGCAGAGAGGGTACCAGCATGAATTGGGGATTAAATAACTCATGGTTTTATTTCAAACTTCCCAGGAAACTTTCACAGGACATCAGTCCTGTGTCAGCATGTAATGCGTATTTTTTTAAACTAAATGGAGTTCACACAATGAAACCTAGAGTCTATTGGCACCACTCTGTGATGAGCTTTGAATTAAGATCTAAATAAGAACAGAATATTTTGATGTATTAGGAAAATCGATAACAATCCATGAACTGTGACAAAGGATAAAATAGCACATGCTTTTAATCTGACTTTTGCCTTCAGATTTCCAATGAGCCACCAGCAATGTTTCATCAGGGTATGGGTTTGGGTTTTTTCTTCCAGAAATGCCATTAATTATTTACCAGTAAGTGAATGATCTCTGAAATCTATTGCAGTGACACCTCTGAGTCTGCAGACAGTTTCTGATGGCAAACCATCTGGGCTCCTTTAACTCGTTATTGTTTATCCTTTGGACTCCTCTCCCCTGGCTGTAAGGTGTAACGGCAGCAGACAGGGCCAGGAGCATCAATATTTTACAGCATTAATTAAGGGGAGCTCAGCAGCTGCATTGCCCAGCCCGGCTGCCAGTGGGAGGGGAAGGCCG